ACATGAAAACGAAATAAACAATAACGAGACACCCCTTTTTCACAAAACACTTTGTAATATCCTGTATCAATTAGCAGCTCATTAATAGTAATCGTTGTTATCGCAACAATAATAATTGTATTAAGAAAGAAAAAACAAAACGAAACAATAACTCACGCAATGTAAATCGCGCCGTTAGAATAAGCGAAAGTATTCGATTCTAAGTAAACGATACCAAAAAATGTATCGGGAAAAAACAAAAATTATGTAAAAAGCGAAAACTTCGTACCTCCGTTTTCTTTTAATAACAGGGGGGGGGGATGTTGTAGCCAGGCCTACAACCAATAATAAAAAGTAGTCCGCATGGCAACAAAATTAAGTTGCACGAACCTCGAAAAGTCTTTCGAAAGATTACACAAATGTGTGATCGCCGAAATCGCGACCAGTCTTTCGAAAGACCACAGAAATGCATCGCGAGAACATTGCGAAAAAGCCTATCAGCAAATTCTTAAATTTAATGATCAAATCGAGCGTAATATTGATTAATCAATATCACGCAACCGATCGACGCAATCGATCAGAATGCTGACCAGGCATCGATCAGACTATATAACCGATTATACAAGACGGAATAGTCAGAGTCGGGAATCAATCAAACATTACGTGTCGTTCGGATCTATAACAATCTCTAACAATTAATGTTGTAGCCCATATGGGGTATAACAATACTCTGAACAAGAAATAGAAAAATTACGCGATCACATGTTTCCGGAAAAGTCAGCCGTATTACATACCATCACTCGAGGCTATCGAGTGTAACCGCCACCCTTGAGGACAGTCTCGCGAAATGTAACTTGACAATAAGTTGGGCGCTAGGCACGAGCACGTGCTACTTAATCACTTGAGAAAATTGCAAGCATCGATTTTATATAATTAAATCCAAATTAGTGGACGCTAGTGATAATCCAGTAGCTCGGTTATAGGTTATAGGTGGTAGATGGGAGAATTCACGGGACGCGAGAAAGAAAGGCGAAAATATTGTATCACAAGAATAGATTGCATTCACGAGAATGATTTTAATTTCGGCTCGAATAATTACACTCACTTGTCTCGTTCATTCTTTCATAACGCAATAATATCTCGACGCATCTCGAATCTCATAAGGTTAACGAATTATACAAAAAAATGTTTAAACTACGCAAGATATAGCGACGGTATATCTCCCTAAGAAAGACGCGCAAGATATTTTGGAACGGTGCCTTCGCCTAATGGTATCCGAACTCACATTAAACAACTTTAAGATGTTTACATTAAATGACTCGACACGGCAACGCAAAAACGATACATTTAGCTTACTATTACAGCATAGTGTTACGCGGAAACCGTACGTAAATTAGACAAGTAGAAAATTTATTTAGACTTTCCAAGAATGATGAGAGTGAGAGAAAAACGCTGCAAACGACTCGATAATTATATCGCGAGAAAGACACGCGGCCTGATCGCCAGGCAAAACAACGGTGATGACGCAATAATCCTTGCAGTCGCGGGAAGCGCTTCCTTACGAAATTGTTGCGAGCCAGCCCCGTGCGATTCCTCTGATTCGCGGACGAAATTAACAATTTTACAAAGAACTTTATATAATTCGCCTCATCAAGCGGCAACTCTCACTCGATCCTTAGGTTCGCTCTTTATCGCTCTTGATAACAGGTTCCTGCGTCCACACCTTTTCACTATCGAATGGAAAGTGAAGATCGCTTCCTTGTGAATCCTCGCGACACGGTCACGATCGTCATTCCCTCTCTTAGTATCGATTAGCGCTGTGGCGTGATCAACCGATAAATCGTCGGTTCGCGTGCGGCTCCTAGAGGGCCCGCGTCTTCTTCGACCCCCGAGATTTGAAGGAGATGATCTCTTGGCCTCGAGCTTATGATCCTGGAAGATTCTTCTTAACTAATTCTTCCAATAGGACGTGGCTATCTCCTCCGCCTCTTTAGTCGGCCTTTCTCGATTCGGGGTCTCCTCGCAACCTCGCGAGGAGTGGCGCCTCCCCTTTTGATTACTCTTTCGCCCCTGCGCTGTTGTGATCGGCAGCATTGTTCCCGTAACGTTACTTAAGATAACGGGAGCCTGGCATATAGAAAAGTCGGCAACTAATTAGAAGAGTAGGACGTGATTAGTCTTTGCGGTGGCGGCATCCTCTTCGTATCCGATTGCCGTTCGTTATTGGGAGATATGCGGTGCACATGGGCCCTATAGTAGCCATCAACCTCGCCAATTCAGTCTAGTACCGTGAAAATCAGACTCGAAAATGATAATAATAAAAATAAAAACAAAGAGATTCACGCAATTATATATGTGGTTCGCGCTATTCGCAATTCGCCTGCACTCTCCTCCCTCAGAGTGAACGCAGGACCCAGTAATGCTCCCAATCGGAGCAGTCTTGCGGGCGATCTCAAGGCGTTACATACAGTTACGTCACAACAGAACATGTTCTAGAGAAACCAGGTTCACTAAACAATTTATTAAACGAAGAAGTTTTAAACACAATTTATGAAAATGCAGCATCTAAAATTTGGTCTGGATTTACAATATTCGGGACTGCAACTGCTGGTTTACTTGGCTTATTCATAATCTTCCGAATTGTGAAAACAGACTGGATACAATAGTTCACGGTTATACTATACACTCCGTTTACGGATGTAGTTTGCACTTTTTTGGAATAATTTGCAGTTCGATTGCATATTTATTATTACATTTTGCCAATAGACCCAAATCTACCGAAAGAAATAACGAACCCGATGAGATACAGATTCAATCACATTCTCAAGAACATGAAAACCAGGCGAAGGTCATCAGTCACAATCAACAATATCCATAATACACAATTCCTATGATTCACAATCACGTCTAAACGAAACTGAACGAATCCCTCAATTCAAATTGTAATTTTGGAATTCTTTTTTGGGGGGAGAAGGTGTAACAATCCCGTCGTTTTAATCTTGCTTTCCTTACTCTGTTTTATCGATCTTGAAATATTCTAACAAGAGGCCGATTTGTACAGTTTCCCGAGCAGGATGAGATGCGATAATTGTTATAATTCTAAAGAATTTACTTCTATCAGACATATTATCATATTATATTATATTATATTATATTTATTTTTATTATTGCTATTTTTATATTGTCGTGTTGGATTATATCATTTTTATTTTCATTTATATGTAAATCCTATAAGAACTTATAGACACTCATTACAATAGATATAAAATAAAATTCATAATAATTCATCAAATTCAATAATTAAACCAAGGAGCTACGCGAAGAACTAAACATCGGAGCTAAATTCGGTACATTAACAAAATATTTGTTAATGTACCGAATTAGCTTTTTTTGTTTTTGTTTTTTTTTCTTTTTTCATTTTCGCAGATAGCGATTTCTTATTTATTGAACCTGCCATTCTAGATATATGCGCCAAAATGTTAATAATAATTCCGTGCGATGGCCGTTCACCCGTTTTAGCGAGCGTCTTCTTCAGGCCGCGCGTTAGATGAAGAATCGCGAGAGTTTTGAAAATGTGCGGCTATGACTCCAAAAAAAGTAAAAGATTAATTTTTTTTAAGAGCTGTAATAAAGAGGAGTTTGCAGCAAACAGCAGATATATATAATCAATTGCCATACAACATTAGTGCTTCGAGCCGGCTAGGCTAATTACCGATACAATAAGGAATAACGGAGTTTATAAAGATTAGCGTGACGCGAGAAACACAATGACGGACATCGGTCATTCATTTAAGGCACGAGGCTATGCGAAAGCCAAGATGACTAGACTAAGAACTCAAGTACTGCAAGTGATTGAAGGGGCTGGCGCTTCATTTGACAAACAGCAAGCGAAGATGCGGTTTGAAAAATTGGAAGAAATTCAACATGATCTCGAAATTATTCAAAGGAGATTGTTAGAGGAAATGAATAAATTTACGGAAGATGATACAGCCGAAGAAGAGCTTTTTGAAGAGTACTTTGAGGTAAAATCTTTATTGAACCGATTCATAAGCCAGTCCGCGACAAAGGCATCACTCCTCAAAATACAGATATGATCACGCAACTATTGCAACAGCAAACCGAACTGTTATAGCATATCGAGCGGGACACGAGAGTTGCTGCAATCGCCATGATATTCGCAGGGGAGAACGAAGTGTTAACGATTATTCTTACTAAACAAACAGAAATTCTTGATCGCATAGTTAATACAGCGGGTTCTGCTAACGTAAATGCTAGAATCAAATTGCCCACTATTAAACTTCCACATTTTGATGGGAAGATAGAAGAGTGGAAACGCTTTGCGGACAGTTTTCGTTTCATCATACACGATAAGCTGCATTTATCAAATACTAAAAAATTTCAATACTTAATTTCATCAATCTCGAGTGACGCCGCGAAAATAATCGAAGCTATAAAAATAATGGGGCAGAATTACATAAGCTGCATAGGAACTATTACAGCAAAGATACGACGATCTCCGATCGCTTAAGAAAAATCATATCCAGTTTATTGGATTTACAATACCCATTGTGACGAGAGAGTCAGCAAGGGCTCTTCGTGATTTGATCGATACTGTCAGACATTTACAAATGTTAAAGATTCTAGGTTCGCCTACTGATACATGGAAACGAATTTATAATGTATGATGAAAACCAGGTTCGATGCAAAAACCTTTCGCGCATGGGAAGAAGAAATGGAGTCAAACGAAGGCGCTAGATTGACTGACATGATAGAATTTCTAAGGAAAAAATGTCAAACTCTAGAGCGCATCGAGTCGAGATCAATCGAAAAAGGCGAGAAGACCGGCAAGGAGAGT